AGATAGAGCAGCAGTTATGCTCTTGAGACTTTTAAGATGAGCAACAGTTATGCTCTTGAGAATCTTTGTGAAGAGCCACCACGATAAGTTTAAGATGTTAGAGGGATGAATCGTTATGACTCCCCTAACTAAGTTTAGGTTTAAGGAAAGCCTGGATGGCTTCTCATACGTATGAGTTGGCAACCGGACTAGCTAGTGAGGGATCCCCATGTCATTCAAGTATTTAAGTCAAGATTTGAGCTTTAAGAAAGGAGAGTAACTTCAACTCCCACAAAGTTTAAGAGTTAAGATTTTAGGATTGGAAGTACAAACAACTTTCACTAGTGAAAGTTAAGTGTTTAAGTAAAGTACTCAAGTATTAGAATTATTAAAACGTAAGGGCGTAGACTGACCCCATCTCACTCACCAGGACTTAGTAAAGGAATAAGCGAGAACTAGATCGATAGTTGCAACTAGAGGAGCAGTTAGTGAGCAGCGAGATCGAGAAAGTTATTCGAGGCAAGCCAGCTAGAGGAGGATTGTACAAGCGTCACTGGAGGTGCCAGAGATCGAATCCGAGATGACAACAAAGTAGAGTTTTAGTTATTGATTTAGGATTATGAGTAGTGACTGGAGATTCATATTAAGATTCTATGGTTGAGGTTTGCCCAAGTGTTAGGGCTTTGTTTTAAGAGATTTCAGTTCACTTCAGTATTTGTTGGTTATTTATGGAAAGCTTCCATTTTTTTTAAAAGTCTTTCGTTTCTTATTTTGGTTTATGAGTCATCAAGGGCATTTTGGTAAAATTAGTACCCGGCCGGATTAGGGTGTTACAAACAATGCAAAGAACATAGCAATGAAAACAATGAACTTCGTAAAATTTTCAATACCTTGTGCTTGTTATTTTGTTGTTTTCTTGGTGAGAACCTTAATTACTTGCCTTTGTACTTTTGTACTTCGATTCATTTGTGGTTGGCAGAAGAAGCATTTAAAATCATGTGTTACTTAAATATTGTTTAACTATATCATGCATGATTGTAACTTGTCCGCTAACTGGCGGCAACTAGAGAGCCGTTCCGTATGGGTATGAAGGGTCTCGACCAATTTTTGGCCTCTATGAACTTTTGGTAGGCAGATTTGACTTGGATTGGAAGTTAGTGTAGGAAATTGCAGTGTCTTTTGATGTTTGAATGTTATAGTTTTGGTCATTGTAAAGACCAAGGAATATATAATAGTTTTGCCTGTTCTTTATGTATTTTTAGAAGAAGAAGTTGGGCAGAGCTCCAACGGTAGCAGAGCTGGTGTTTGATACATATAAAGAAGGGGATACAATTAAAGATAAGGCAGCAAATGCAAGACATGTAAATGCTAATAACTTTTAACATTATAAATTAGTTTGTTTGGCCTATTTTTACTGTGATTTACTATTTTCTTCGTAGACTAAGATGGTCGAGACAATAGAAGCTAATCCGAACTTCACCGCACTCGAAGTTGTAGAAGCGAGTATAGGAGAACAAAAGAGAGGCCATGTGGTTTGCTATGGAGGTGGCTTGAAGCCTAGGGATTTAAAGGCGACAACTTCTACAATGAATGCAAGGGAGGCAAGTTTAGAAGAGCAGCTGAGAAGGTCTGATGAAGCAAAGGAAGCTCTTCAAGAAACTATCTCTGATCTACAAGGTACAGTTTCAGAACAAGCTGGAGAATTGATTAGTTTGAAGGATGAAGTGCAAAAGTTTAAACAGATGTTTGAAAATAGTCAAACTAGGCACAACTAGGTTTGTAGTTACACCTTCCTAAACACTATTGCTTTTGTTTCGCTAGTAGTTCTTGTACATCATTTGCTGCTGGTTTTTTGTAGTTCTACAATGGTATTTTGGTGGTCTGCAATCCTCCAGAAGTTGCTGTAAGTTTCTTTCCCAATCTTCTCTTGTTATTTCCTTTGCTATATAGAGGGGAGAACTCCAAAAAATTGCCTAAATATGGTGCTTGGCTGACTTTTATCTTGTTGTTCTGAATGTCTGATTGAGTTGTAGTTCTTAGTGGTGGAGTTTATAAGTGGTTGGTATTATGTGTAAGAAGAAGTAGTTTCAGATGACCTAAGAGGTGGAGTTTATATGTTGGTGGTATTATGTGTAAGTAGAGGTAGTTGAGATAAAGTGAAGATCCTCACTCCATATGTCTCCGGTAACTAATTTGCATACTTCATTTTACTCTGCCAGCAGCCTAGCAGCTCATTTTGAATCATTTGCTGCTGCTTTTTGTAGTTGTTTATGGTATTTTGGTGGTCTGCAATCCTCCAGATGTTGCTGTAAGTTTCTTCTCAAATATTCTCTTATTATTTCCTTTGTTATATAGAGGGAAGAACACCAAAAAACTGCCTACATATGGTGCTTGACTGACTTTTTATTTTGTTGTATTGATTGTCTGATTGAGTTGTAGTTTTTAGTGGTGGAGTTTATAAGTGGTTGATATTATGTGTAAAAAGAGGTAGTTTGAGATTAACTAAGAGGTGGAGTATATATGTTGGTTGTATTATGTGTACATTCTACTCTGCCAGCAGCCTAGCAGCTCATTCTAAATCTCATACTTGAAATTCTACTTGTATGACTTAATTGTAGGTGTGCAACACAAGAAGACTAGTCGGCTATGTGCCTTTGTGGATTGCAAATGGACCTTTATTCTCATGAGGATAGCAGCAACTTAAGATTATTTTGTAGAAGCATATATACTTTTGGACATGTTTGATCAAGTGAAATGATCAATCAGATTTACGTTGAGTTTCCATTTGATTAGAATGCCATAAGCATATGTGATTATCAGCAGAAATGACTTTTGACAATATCATGCACAATCGAGTTATATATATGGTTTTTAGCGGATATGATACTTTTGTTGGAATGGATGGTCTAAACAATACATCTTAGTTATTGTAATGCCATTACAATTAGCGAATATAAATCATTTTGATTATTTGAGATTATTACCAAATATTAATCATTGATTTTCTCGTGACTATTGGACAATACTGATCATGGGATGTTCCTGTGATTACTTACAAACAACAATCACGGGTTGTTCCCGTGACTAACTACAAATAATAATCATGGGATTTTCCGTGATCACATAGGAAAAACCCGTTACCACACAAACACGGCAAAGATCATCACCCCGTCATTAATTAGTAAAATCCCATAATAAATAATACAATTAATCATGGGGAATCCCGTTGCTGATTTACGCAACAGTCACGGGAATCTTCCCGTGGTTAATAGTTAGTCACGAAATTTCCCGTGACGTAAGATGCTATTTACCATGAGATTATTCCGGTTATAGAAATATTTTTTATCATCAATATCCCGTGATAAATGACAATTAATCACGGACATGTCTGTCGCGGGAAAGTACCCGTGATTAAAGGAATTAGCCACGGGATTTGATTCTTTAGTCACGGGAAATCCCATGATGGAAAGTGAAATTTCCTGTAGTTGTCTCCCGCTCTTCTTCCCTTCAGCTTTCCTTTTCAGTGGGAGATCGCGTTGAGTTCACGGCGAGTGCACGTCCGTGAACATTGAAACGCGTTCGTGAACTCAGTGTTGCGACCAAAACACACCGCTTCATTTGCTCGGGTTCACGGTCAGTGGCCTCTATTCACGGTCTTAGTGACCGTGAACTGTCTGGGCGTCAGTAACTCTCTGGCCGTGAACTGCGACTGTCTCCTCATCTTTGCCCGGTCTTTGCTCCTTTTCTTCCAACTTTCGACTCCAGGTTTAGTTTTACCTATTAGGATATGAAACACAGTAAAACACAAGCAACCTCGCATAAAATCAACCTTTTTGGAGTTCAATTACAACAAACGTCAAAGAGAATCAGACGTAAAAAGTGTAGAATTAGCCCAAATCAAAACTATATGAAGAAAAATATTTTAAAATGTCGACTCTCCAAGAATAATATATCCAATTATATATAGAAACTCTATGGCATATATGTAAATAGTTACTATATATAAACCGAAGTTGAGTTACCGTTGCGTAATTATTCACATTTTAATACCCCAAATATAATTAAATCACAACTTAGTCACTATAATGTACATTTTATATTTAGATACCCCATATTTAATTTTAATATAAAGTCATTGAACAATTATGTTTGGTATATAAATTTTATGAGATTTTCGTACCTACGATTTTTTAAATTTACATATTGGTCCAATGTTTAGATTTCACTTGAATCCATGAATTCAATCCACCAATTCTTTTGCACCAATCCATGAATCCAATCCAATATAACATAAGAGTATAAATTTACTCTTTACAATACAAGATGTTGTACCACTCAATTGTAGGAGAAGATTCGACCATTTTATATTTGCTCATAACGTGAAATATTAAATAAATGATAAAAGAGAGACGACTCTAAAATATTGCATGAGCGAACTTATAAACTCATTTAATATATTTACGAGATACTAAACAAACTTCTACTAACTACATGTAACAAAATATGTGACATCTACATAAGCAAGTGTCAATAAATTGCTACGGTGAAAATGATTAACTATTGTATTGACGACCAACTAAAAGAATTGATCAAAACATTCCATCATCTACTTCCTCTTCATTTCATTTTTCACTCGCCTTCCATAACCCTTTCTTTATTTCTTTCTTTGCCTTCTTCGTCTAACCCTAATCAGTATACTATTTTTATGTATTCTAATCACAAGTATGAACAGGTCCATACACGACTCACCAACGGTTTAGAGAATTAATAATTGAACCATGAACCACTAACTTTTTCAGGCGTGAAATTTTCTGCGAGTTCCAGTTTGTATTCCTTTTGCTTCTCTCTAGAGTTTTCCTTTTTCACCCGTGCTATAATTTTCAACAATTATACTTGGAATATTTTGGCTCGGTATCTACAAATATAAAATAAATAGTTTCCATTTTTCTATAAAAAGGTAAATAATTATCATCTTAAATACATCACTATAAAGGCAATTAAGCCTCAACGATGAAAATTACAGTTACAGTTCAGTACCGAAACTCAATATATCTTTAGATTTATAACCTAAAATTATTTTTTTGACATAAGTCTTCAAAATATTGATGGAATATTACATTTTAACACCTAAAATTTTTTGTATTACATTTTGGTACCTAAACTTTTGAAGTTCTACAGATAGGTCTAATTCTTGTATGTATAATTAAATCACCCTTGAATAAATGGGTATCCATACCCAACTTACAAATTTAAATTATGGAAGTAAATATTCATATCCTACCCAAACCCATCTACGAACTTTCAACATCATATATTACTTACAAAACTGCTAACAAAAAAATAATTTTAGGCCAATAATATTAACAAAACTCTATAACGGGCCACATAATACATGCCAATAGGCCATCTCTACTCCGCGACAAGACGCGTCATCGCCACCTAGTATAAATAAATGTAAGGAGGATATTAAAAATATATCTCCTCTTTCCCCGAACCATACTCTTCATTCTTTTCTACTACAGTAATCGCATACAAACTAAGACCACCACTTGGATGCATAAAAAGTCTCCTCTCCCTTCAGATCACTGAACGCCACATGTGTGTCTAGTCTGGTCCAGTAAACAAAACAACAACGGAGAGTTGAAGCAGAAGAATAGTATACGAAGCCAACCGGCGCTATAGGAGACAGCTGACACATTCAAACTTGGAGTCGCTAACTAAAATATACATATATCTAATGCTGCCTCCAAAACTCTGCAGGATCTCCACTCTGTACAGCTTGACTTTTTTTTTTCTTTTTTTTTTTCTTTGATACACATATTACCGCTTGACTTGACCCACCCACCCCCAGAGCCCCATCTTTCCCATTGCAGCTTGTTACCTCTCTACAGCTCCCCCGGGCCGGGATTATAAATACTAGACTCCCCAATCTCATTTCCTTCAGGGAAAGTAGCTAGCTATCTTCAGCTTGCAACAAGTTCCCCATACTCACTTATTAATTCATTATTATTGTTGATCGGATCAATATATATATATTTATATATTCACTCCGGCCAGGGATCTGCCACCAACCCCTCCGCCGCAAGCTAAGCAAATGGAGTACTCCCTCCTCCAAACCGTTCTCTACCTCGCCCTCCCTCTTCTCCTCCTCCTCCTTCCCATCCTCACGCGCCGCCGCAGCCGCCTCCCACTCCCGCCTGGGCCCAAGGGCCTGCCCATAATCGGTAACATGCTGATGATGGACCAGCTCACTCATCGCGGGCTTGCCAAGTTAGCCCAGCAGTGGGGCGGAATCTTCCACATGAAGATGGGGAACCTCCACATGGTGACGGTGTCGTCCCCGGAAGTGGCGCGGCAGGTCCTGCAGGTTCAGGACAACATCTTCTCCAACCGCCCCGCCAACATCGCAATCAGCTACCTCACCTACGACCGCTCCGACATGGCCTTCGCCCACTACGGTCCTTTCTGGCGCCAGATGCGCAAAATCAGCGTCATGAAGCTCTTTAGCCGCAAGCGGGCCGAGTCCTGGGAGTCCGTCCGAGACGAGGTCGACTCCATGGTCTCCACCGTTGCCGCCAACGCCGGCAAGCCCATGAACGTCGGGGAGCTCATCTTCACCCTCACCATGAACATCACGTACCGGGCGGCGTTCGGCTCCAAGAACGAGGGCCAGGACGAGTTCATCAAGATTCTCCAGGAGTTCTCCAAGCTGTTTGGGGCTTTCAACATTGCTGATTTCATCCCCGGGCTAGGATGGATGGATCCACAGGGCCTCAACTCTAGGCTTGTCAAGGCCAGAGGTGCTCTTGATATATTTATTGATAAAATCGTGGACGAGCACCTGGAGAAGAGGAGGCTGAACCAGGCGGACGATCCTAACCCGGACATGGTGGACGACTTGCTGGCTTTCTACGACGACCAAGATGCCAACGACAACAACAACAAAGCTACCGATAACTCCGCCGACTCACTCAAGCTCACCAAAGACAACATCAAAGCCATCATCATGGTACGTCTTTCTAATAATTCATCGAGATTTCCCCTTAATCAATTTGTTTCCCAAATTACGTACGTGTAAAACTTTCATAACTAGAAATGTCAAAAAAAAAAAAAAAACCTTCTTATGGGTTTTATATTATTGATAGAGAGCTGAAACTTGTCTGGCTGTTAATTTGATCGGCCAGGAATATGTACAATATCAATCTGTTTAGGAGGAGAAAAGTCCAAAAAGGTAGGAACCATCTTTTAGAATGGTGTGAAGCAGAAATTACAATCTAGCTAGCCTTTGGATTAGTGTCCATATGCTGTCATCAACTTGGACTCCTTGATGCTTGCTTGCAGGCTGAACATATATATTTTGTTATTAGAGCTAGAATGGGAGAGTTATGTTAGCTAGGGAAAGTAATTTTTTTGCTTGTAAAAGTGATTATGAGTCAGATCCAGAAATAATAACTGCGCGCAATGAAATGAGTTTATTTTGGGAATAGCGTAAGGAGAAAAACAATTTAACGGGGTTGTTGGGGTTGGTTTGGCTGCAGGATGTGATGTTTGGTGGGACTGAAACGGTGGCGTCAGCAATCGAGTGGGCTATGGCTGAACTGATGAAGAGCCCAGAGGACCTGCGAGTGGTTCAGCAAGAGCTGGCGGAGGTTGTCGGTCTGGACCGCCGGGTCGAAGAGAGTGACTTTGAGAAGCTGAGCTTCCTGAAATGCACGCTCAAGGAGACGTTGCGCCTCCACCCGCCGATCCCGCTGCTCCTTCACGAGACGGCGGAGGATGCGGAGGTGTGCGGCTATTCCGTCCCGAAGAGGTCGCGGGTGATGATCAATGCGTTCGCCATCGGACGCGACCGGAACTCGTGGTCGGAACCGGACGTGTTCAAGCCGGCCAGGTTTCTCAAGGAAGGGATGCCGGACTTCAAGGGGAGCAATTTCGAGTTCCTGCCGTTCGGGTCGGGTCGGAGGTCCTGTCCGGGGATGCAGCTGGGTCTGTACGCGCTGGATCTCGGGGTGGCCCACTTGCTTCACTGCTTTAAATGGGAGCTGCCCGACGGGATGAAGCCTAATGATTTGGATATGAGTGATGTTTTCGGACTCACCGCTCCCCGGGCCACCCGACTCGTGGCTGTGCCCACCCCGAGATTGACCTGCCCGCTGTAACTAGCTGGCTGCAAGGAATTTGAATGGGGTTAAATTTCATTCTTGTTTTGTTTGTTTGACTGTTATGCCTTTATTTTCTCTTTCTTTTGTGGATGAGTTTTTTTCACTTTTTTCTTTTTCTGAAACAAAAATACTATATATATATATATATATATATGTATCAAGTACGAATGATGCAGATACTTCTGGAAGGGGCCGAACAAAATAGCTAGAGTCGGGGGGAAAAATAACCAAGGAATAAATATGGCAAAACAAATTCTTGTTTGTTTTCTTCTTCTCCGCTGATCTTGTACATGCGGGATCTTGGATGTAAAAGAATTCATTTGTCTTTATCAACGCTTCGTCAGTTTCTTACCACTGGTCCAATGATGCCCACATCTGATCTGATCTGATCGGGGAACCTACAATTTGTATGGTCTATACTCTATACAACACGTTTGTGGCTGTATTCAACCGACCTCAATTAACAAGGAAAAAAGCGATTGCACACCCACTCAACAGTCAACATACACATCACACAGTTTTGCAGGATATATAATTTGTATGCTGTTTGTTCAAAGCTGCTGTTTTGTTTGTCCTCTTCTAAAGAAACTTGGGCGGTTCCGATGGAGAAATTAGAGCAAGGAAACGCAGAAATAGATGTCACGGTGAAACATGGAATAGATCACAGTAACCTTATCATGAGTAACCATGAGTAATCCGTCCACATCAGCATGATATCAGCATCCTCTCTCCTGGAAAGCTTTTAATTTTCCCTCTTTAATCTTTGACGGACGATTTCTCACTCATTTTAAATCGAAATTTTATTATTTTTGCACAGTTAGATTAGATTAATTGTGCTCTTCAAAATGATATCCACTTTAATATATTTTTCGAACAAAAAAAAAATTGAGTCATTTTTTACGAGTCTATACCATATGGTATTGACTGGTATTGAAATAAAAGCATACATATGGTTTGAAAAACGTACCATGGTGGTATGAACAAACCAAGACTGAAGGATGGTTGAATACATGATAGTAGAAGTATATTAATTGTCATTTACGACTTTTAACATTGTATACCACACAATACCACCCCGTACCAAGGTGGTATTCTATGGTATTGTGTGGTATTTTTTGGTCCTGTAATTTGTTCACCCAGAAATTTGTAGATCCAATAGATCATGATGAACTCATCTCTTCTGTGCAAACGTTTTCAAAAACGAATTAAAAACAAAGAAGATACCATACAATACCACCCCGTACCAGGGTGGTATTGTATGGTATTGTGTGGTATTTTTTTATCCTGTAATTTGTTCACCCAGAAATTTGTAGATCCAATAGATCATGATGAACTCGTCCCTTCTGTGCAAACTTTTTCAAAAACGAATTAAAAACGAAGAAGATACCATATGGTATGCAGTTGGTACCGAGAGGCCAGAATTTTTTTTTTCTCAAAAAATATTGAAAATTGATCTCATTTTGTAGAGCACGATGAACTCGTTCCATCTGTGCAAAAAAAAAAAATTAAAATCCCGGGTTAAAACGAAAAAGATATGAGTCAATTAAGAAAGTTAGAAAAAATCAAAATGGTCTTTAATTCTCCTTCCTTCAGTCTGAATTTTCTAAATAAAGGATCCAGATTTGGTTATTGATGAATGATAACCCATGGTTATGCACCCTATCTTGAGCCGTGAAACTGACAGGATCTGCTGGTTACCTGGCTGCCTCTCGACGAATGGTGGAAATTATTGAATATCTGACCAGTTGCGTATCTAATTAACTCTGACACGATAATGATGATAATCGTCATCATAAAATTCAAATTAAGACGCAACCATTACCTACAGCCCGACTGCTCAACTTAATTACTTACTTGTTAATGATGAGTCGTTCGGTTACCCACCTCATCAATGACAAAGCATGACGCTAGCAGTAGCGCTCTACTAATTAACCTTTCCTCTTATTGAGAAAGGATTCCACATCATCCTATCCTGCTTCATTTCCAACTACCACAGACGTTGTTTGGTGAGTAGATTAGAATCAGATGACGAGTGTAAGTGGAATTTAATTAACACTTACATCAATTATATTCAAAACTCTAATTATTTGTTTCTACATTATGATTCGGACGTTTCTAAAATTACCTTTTCCAGTTTCCTTATCTCTGATATTTTCCTTAGCGAAACAGAAGGGAAAAAAAATTTCTTTTATTTTTTTACTTCTATTTAGATTTTTTTTTATAGTACTATTTAGATTGTTTTAGTAGTAGGCATATGTGAGTGTTTGAACTGGTCTGATGTCAAGAACAAAAGCTTTGTTTCGGGACTTTGGCCTATTGGTCAAGTAGAGCGGAATACTACTATTTATCTAATTATCAAGATTTTGTTTTTATGCATGTATACAAGGATGGCTGTCGGGACGGAGTAGGGATGGCAATTTTACTCATACTCATAGGTTGTTTTATTATCCAATCCAATTGGGTTGGGTATGAAATCCAAATAGATGGTAAATGAGTAAAGTTTTATGTGTTTGTATGTTGTAGGACACTCTTATGTATCGAGTGCAGTGTTATACTCGATAGTGTCCATTTTATAGAAGTATAGGTAGTGTTTGGTAATTGACAATATAACCTTAGGAGATAGACGTGAAGGGTTATATAGGTGTTGTCGTGGCCGAGTTTGGCTGTGTGTGTAAGTGTGTTGGTTGTGTCACAAAAACCTAATAACAATAGTATCGAAAGCTCCTTGAGTGAGCCTTCCGTGGATTAGTCTCCTTCACACTGAACGAGGATACCACTTTAGTTGTCTCGTTGTCGTTTACTATTCTTTTTTCTCATGGTATTAGAGCTCTGCTAACGATCAAGGAACTTGTGTTAACATGGCTGGTGAAGACTGTAAAGACAAGACGGTCAGCTCTCCTAGTGGCAACGTTGGTAGCGGCAGCTTGCAGGGACAGATCCGTTCTCGCCATTGTTTCTCAGTCAGTCCGACAATCCCAACCAGGTTTATGTTCAATGAATCCAATTATGCAGATTGGATCCACGACATGACGAATTCTCTCCTAGCAGAAACCAGCTAAGGTTCGTTGATGGCTCAATTGTGGAACCAAAGGATCCAGTACAAGCGCAACAGTGGAGACGAGTTCACGCTATGGTGAAGGGATGGCTGCTTTGCGCCATTGATAAATAAGTTAGGCGTGGGATGCGCCATGCTAAGACTGCACGAGAAGCTTGTGATGATCTTCGGGAGAGGTTTGCACAAGGCAGTGCAACTCACGTTTACGAAGTACGACGGATGATTAGTCAACTTCCACAAGAAAAACTCACCGTCCAAGCTTTCTACACGAAGTTGAGATCCCTTTGGGAAGAGGTAGAAAGCATGGCACACATTCATACTTGTATGTGTGGTTTGTGTACGTGTGGACAAGATAAGAAGAATCAGGAGCGTGAAGAGCATTTTAGGCTATTCGATTTCCTGATAGGTCTTGACGAGTCATTGACCACCGTCAAAATCCAAGTGCTCTCGATGAAGACAATGCTAAGTTTATCAGAGGCATACCGGCTTGTCATTAATAATGATGCGCACCAATGAAAGATTGCAGCAACCCATCGTGTCACACCGGAGGCTGTGCCATTCTTCACCCGCGATAACAACTCCCCGCGTGTGGAAGGATGAGAACGGGTAAAGTGCACTCATTGTGGCCAGCCAGTCCACTTTAATGAGCGGAGTTTTGACATCATAGGATTGCCTAAGAAGGGAACCGATGTAGGAGACAAACACAAAGCTGCAAAACATCCTCGCTCCAGGACCAGAGTTGTGAATATTGAAGCTAATGCGAGTCCAGTTCCTGGGCTGTCTATGTCACAGCTCAAACAACTCCGAATATTCCTAAAGATGCAAGGTACTTTCTGTAACTTAGATGAATGGATCATCGACTCTGGATGTAACGAACATATAGTCAATGATTCGTCTATGATGGTACAAGGATTAGTTCAGTCTGGTTTGCAAGTTAGTATTCCTAATGGTGATTCAGTTGAAGTAGGCAACATTGGTTTGGTTCAGTTGAGAAATGGAATGGTGTTGCCACATGTTTTGTTAGTTCGTGAATTCAAGTGCAATTTGTTATAAGTTAGCCGCCTGAGCCAGGGTTTTCTCATTGCACTTATCTTTCTGCACGAGTTCTGTGTAATACAGGACTTACGCTACAAGATGATTGGGATGCATAAGCAGCGACGGGCTGTATCACTTGCGTCTGTTCGATGAACTTAAGGAGGTAATGGTGGATGCGACGCAAGGCAAACAGTCATTCTCAACGGAGTTATGGCATTCACGGTTGGGGCATCCTTCCGGCAATCAGATGTCCTTATTACAATTATATTCAAACAATACTCAGTTTTCTCGGGATCATGATTATTCGTGTTTACGAGCCAAACAGTCTCAGAATTCTTGTTCTTTGACTTCAATAAAGAGTAGTCAGCCTTTTGGGTTAATTTAAGTTGATATCTGGGGGGGGGGGGGGGTTATCGTGTCCCTTCTCTTGGTGGGGCTCACTATTTTTTCACCCTTGTGGATGACTACAGTTGTGGAGTTTGGGTCTATGTATTTATGGCTAAGTCAGAAGTCTCTCGTTATTTGATTATGTTTTGTAATCAAGCTATTTGTCAACATGGAAAACCCTTTAAGAAGATACAGGCTAATAACGGGCTGGAGTTTCATACTACCTTCCTCCACGATTTCTATGAAAGGAAGGTATTCTTCTGCAAACCTCATGTGTTGATACTCCACAGTAGAATGGGGTTGTAGAGAGGAAACACCATCATTTGCTAGAAACGGCGTGTGCACTCTGGTTTCACGCCAAGCTACCACTGATGTGTTTGGGAGAATGTGTACTTACGGCAGCGTATTTGTTACCCAAGTTATTTTGTTAGGTTGAGATATCATCTAGGTTGGAAATGGTTTGCTTGGGGACAAGCAAACATCTAAGTGTGTGGGAGTGATTCAGGCTCAATTGTACACTTTTTTTATCCCCCGGTCACCTTAGTCGTTTGAGGCATTTTTACTCCAGGAGGTTTGGTTTTACGCCAGATTTTGTCGCGTTTTGGTGTTTTTCAGACTATGTCAGGTGGAATTAAGTGATGCGGCGCGTTTTGACTTGAGATCATTGTTCGTGCTTTCAGTTCACGGCCGTCAACTAGGACCGTGATCTGAGCCCAATCTGGGTATAAATGGAGGTTTGAGTTGAAGGGAAAAAGGGAGAGACCTAGTGTGAGAAACTTCTTCTTCTTCAGATTTCTAGAGTGAGAAAGTGACGAACCAAAGAAGAGAAGAAGCTAGGGTTTCATCTTCAAACAATGATTTGGGAATTCCTTCCCCAAAGGAGGATCTCTTCAACACAAGGAGCAAGGCTAGCATCTCCATGATTGTTTTCCTTCTTCTCTCTTGTGTTTTCCCTTCTCCTAGCATGGTGTAGTCCCTTAGTTAACTTGGGTGTTTGTAAACCATAGCTACAATTATGTGAATGTTTGTATGGATTGAATGATCTGTGTGTGGATGTGTTTTAATGTGAATTTGGAGGTATTTTCATGAAAGATTGTGTTGTGTGTTTGCCTATCAATCTATTTGCCATTCTAACCTATGCAGAGAGAAAACCCTCTTTCTTTAAAACAACCTTGTAAAGCTGGTTTTTCTTAGGCAAATCTTGTCTCCTATCTAGGTTACTGTAGGCAACCATCTTTATTCATATTAGCACCTAGGGTTGGTTGTAATTAGGCCGTCCAAACTCTGATTTGAGGATGAAGTCTAGACAACCCTTAGTCAATAGGTCAGAGAGCTACTTTGGTGGCTTGAAACGAATTCCATTGACCTAGAGACCGAGAGAGTGGCGTTTGACTACTTGTTGCACTTCCCTACGGTTTACAACCACCTTATAACACGTAACCATTCGATCCAACAAGTCATAATTGTTAGGTAGGGGGAGCAACACCCAAGTGAAGTCTTCTCAATTAGTGTCAAATCCATTTACTTTTCCAAACGTTTTAGCCATTGATCGTTATTTTCACCAACAAAACCAATTGTTAGATAATGTTACAAACAATCGAAGTAGGGGTACATGAACCGGCCCGGATTGACATTTAAACATACTTGCCCTATATTGCACCCAATGGAAGTTTAAACTTAGGTCTTAATTGATAGTTTTAGGGGCTTGCTATTTGCCGCCAACCAAATTGCTATTTGCCGCCAACCAAAAAAAAAAAAGTATATATATGCATCTTTGGTTAAGGAGTTTCACAATCTACAACATATCCAACTTTCAGAGAACGTATTTAATCAGAAAAATTCAACGCTCGCCGGAAAAGACGCCGGAAAAGTCGCCGGAAAATCATCGATGAAAAAAATGTATATATATACATCTTTGGTTAAGGAGTTTCACAATCTACAACATATCCAACTTTCAGAGAACGTATTGAATCAGAAAAATTCAACGCTCGCCGAAAAAGTCGTCGGAAAATCATCGGGAAAGCCTATCCTCGACATATAATGCGTACACGCATCCATGAATCATCACTAACCATCAGACAATGTGGGCAAAGTGCTACACGAACCATGTGTTTCAAACCCTAAACCCTAAGTGAACCCTGAACCCTAAACCCTAAACCCTGAACCCTAAACCCTTTGTTGATGTGACTTGAATCGGACTATCAGCCGCTACGACTGGTAATCGGGGGTCTCGCTGTTTGGGTTCGGGTTCTGGGCCTGGTCTGTAACCGTTTCCTTTGTCATATTGGATTAGGTTTAGACCCACATGGAGAAGTACTATAAATACTTCGTGTTAGTGAACTACGTAAATCGTGTGTCGTGTTGCAATGCTCTATTTATATGTTGTTGTTTTTCTAGTTGTATTTTTAATGACCCTAGTGTCATTATGAACTTATGAATTTCATTATGGATTTCTAGCGAGTTCGGGGTCGATTGGACGAAGATCGGGCGCGAGGCAAGTCAATCGTCGGTCGCCGGCACCGTTCTTCCGTCGTCGGCTAACCTCCCGTCGCCCTCAATCGTCGGAAAACAAGTAAGTTTACTTTTTCCGGCCAGTTTTCCAGTTTTCCGGTAAGTTTTCCAGTTTTCCGGCGAAAAACACGGCGGGCCGAAAAAAAATTGCGGCCCGAACGTCGCCGAGCCGAAAAAAATTTGTGGCCGGGATGACGGCCGGCCGAAAAATTCTTTCGGCCCGGCGACGCCACGGCCGCAAATTTTTTTCGGCTCGGCGACGTTCGGGCCGCAATTTTTTTTCGGCCCGCCGTGTTTTTCGCCGGAAAACTGGCCGGAAAAAGTAAACTTACTTGTTTTCCGACGATTGAGGGCGACGGGAGGTTAGCCGACGACGGAAGAACGGTGCCGGCGACGGAGGCACTGGGAAGGAAGGGAAAATTCAAAATTAAAATTTTTTTTTTTTTTACCGGCGACGGAGGCACTAGGAAGGAATAGAAAATTCAAATTTTGAATTCTTTTTTTTTTTTTTTAGTTGGCGGCAAATAGCAATTTGATTGGCGGCAAATAGCCGTTCACTAGTTTTATTGTGATATTCTGGACGACTAATATCTTGACTAAATGTTAGTTCAGTCCACCCACTTTAAACTTTTTTATCGTCTGTTATATTCTTTAAGTCCCATTGCATGAAATTTTGTGTTTTCTAACACTTTTGGAATTAATATTTGTAATTTTAATCATTAAACATATTGTGAGTCAATTTAACTCATACAATACAAAAATTTATGTTTTATATGATAATTTTGAATTATATTGTTCACAAAATATCATTTTCATATTTTAAAAATTGTGGAATACAACTTATTTTCGGAACGAAGCCTTCCAAGTTGATTCGAAGGGCCACGTTCAATGCATGGTAGTTTGGCCTTCGTAGCTACTAGCTAGTTACAGTTACTAGCCTGTAAACATAACGTTGACGAGGAAGAACGTTTTGTTTTTATGATTAATCAAAAATTGCATTAAGTACGGGAGTTGCAACATGCAAAACTCCTCCTCCAAGTACAAACAATATATAAGCAAAACATCTTCCAACTCTATAAACTATCAACTATGTATAAGAATCAAAGGAGAGTAATTCTACTACTGCTGCTACATTCAAACTTCAGGGGTTTTTTTTTTTTTTCCGGCATGAATAAAGGTGAGATAACTGGAAAGGTGAGTTTAGTTCCCCTATTTTTTTTACTTCCTTTCATTTTCACTTGTTTTTTGGGTCTCCTCACTCCACACACAGCTATCAGCAGCTCAACCACCACAACCATTTCTCAGTCCCACTCCAAAGCCAAAACTATCTCTATCGAAACATTGTCGTTCTAGGTTTGTGGATGTGCAATTTAGTACCAAATAACATGTTTGACAGAAAAATATATATGAAGTACTTGATAATGTTATTCTTGAAAAACTACAAATTTATTATTTGAGAAATTCTAGGAGGAGGGTTAGTTTTCTTCAAATAACAAGTTATTATCTTTTTTCCATTCGTGTCATCAGTCTTGTTTTTTAATCTCAAACTACCCTATCCTTTTTGCCCCAATTTTTGCCACTTTTCACCTTAATCATGCATAACACTAACAAAGTCTCAATATGTCTTGATCAAAATAATTATCAAGAATTTTTTTTATACCTGCATAATGCACATATATGTACTACATGCATATAATTATTTCTCGTATTAAATCTTCCGTTCTCGTATTAGTTTTTAGTCATTTAATTTTTCTCATTTGTTTGATGTTTCACGTAACAAATACATTTAAATATTCTATAATTTATGCGAATCTTTCAAACACACTATTATTTTAAAATGATGTAGAATACATATTAATATCGTAACGTACATATGCATGTTCAACAAACATGCACACACTGAACAAGCGAGAAATGGATGGAGTTGAGAAGGAAAAATTGGTAAGATAACAATTTAGTGTGAGAAAGGCTTTCTTTTTCATACTTTGATTTTGTGGTTTCTCTTTGGGATATCTATAGCAAAAGTACAAAAATTAAACATTTTGTCCCTTAGTTATTTTTCTTTTCGTGCTCATTACTCAAAAAGTTTTCTCTCTTATTAGTCACTCACTTTAATTCTCATTTTATCGTTATTTTTTTGTCGACCAATTCCATTAGATTTATCTTACGTGATAAGTCAACTATGAGAATTGACCGTTAATTGGTTGTAGTGACAAATAAAAAATTAATAACAAATAAAAAAACTATTATAAAATTTCATTTCATCTCTCCACGTCCATTCTTATTGATCCAGGTTCATCGAAATAAATTAAATGACTAGATCCCCGTAGTGTATATTATACTCTTAACAATATGTCAAGCTTTAGCATATAAGAGCCAAGATTAGCCAAATTAGCTGGAAAGACGCCTTTCCTAAGCTAGCTAGAGTTGGGATCGATCCAGCCGCACATGCACACGCACCACCGTGGATCTGATATTCTGATTCTTGATTTTCTTGTTTGTTCAATATCTAGTCATTATATGTTTATCGGGTAATTATCATACACGGTCACAAACCTTTGCACTTAGTACAAAACGGTTATAAACCTTTAATTATCATACACGGTCACAGAAGTTTGAACTTGTACGAAATAGTCACTTCTGTTAATCTCCGTCCAAAATTCTGTTAGATTTATCTAGTCAGCATTCCACCTCATCAAAACAAATAATAAACAACTCCAATTTATTATCTAAAACCAACCATTACTCAAACCCGTAAAATTATATCAAAAGCCGATCAATCCCAATTTCACCACTCCCGCGACATCTTCTACAAACCCCCTCGCCGCCAACATTCATCCCGCCGCCTTATTCTTCTTCATCACCCATTCCAGCCAACATTGGGAGGTCTAAATTGAGCAGCAAGTCCAAAGCTTTCTTCCAACCCTTCTCTCTCAGTGGAGAAATAAGAACCCTAATTTTTGTTTCCCTTAAATCCCTCTGCAACTCCTCCTTCCTTATAGAAAATAATCCCAACCAATTCAATCCCATATCAGGAGGAGGAACGGGAAAACAATGGGGAAATGAGACTCGACCCAAAGCTCTCTCTCTCTCTCTCTCTCTCTCTCTCTCTCTCTCTCTCTCTCTCTCTCTATCACTATCTATCTTCTCATCTGCTACCTTAGCTTTGTCTCTCTGTCACTCTCACTCTCCTCTAGCAGCCAGCAGGGGCATCACCGCAGTGGTGAAGAAAAAGAAGAAATCAGTGGCGGCGACTCTCCGTGGGAGTGGTGACGAGTTGAAGCAGGCCGTGCTCGGGGACGCCGCCAAAACCAACTCGCCGCCGTGGAATCGCTGTGGCGTCGTGACCAGCGAAGACGGCGAGAATGAGGTGGAAGGGAAGAAGGAGACGTGAGGCTGCGGCGGGGTGGATCAGCCCGGGTCTTAACTTTTGAGTGAGTTGGGTCAGGGTAAATTTTTAATTAATATTTTGAATTTTTTTATTAATAGTTTTGATGAGGTGGAATGCTGATTAAGCAAGGGAGACGGAAATTTGGACGGAAAGTGATGGAGTTACCATTTTGATATTCGCTCAAAAATTTGTTACCATTTTTTTTACAAATTAAAGGTTTGTGACTAATTTGTACTAAGTGTGAAGGTTTGTTACCTTTTATGCTAATTACCCTATGTTTATCAACTCGACCGATCGATCGGATGACATTTTAATTATAACTAGCTTATCACCCGGCCACTTGACCGGAGATAGCCTAATTCGCCGGAGATAGCCCAAAGAATTGGTAGCAAAACTCTTATGGATATCTACACATCAGCCTGCGCCTTGAATGATCTTTTTTGCCCAGAGGTAAGGTTTACAACACAATACTAATCTGAAGAGAAATCATCCAACCATTGCAATAGCAAAGCAATATCAAAGCATGAAAACTAAAATGGGCATTCAAAGTAAAACATAACGGTCGTTCAACCATTCCAATCTTGGAGTTAAAATGCAAACACGCTAAATTGAAGAAAAGATCAAGTTTATTTACGATAGTTGAAATATTCTTGCTAAAATATAACCGTAGAATGTAGTAAAATCATCCTTCCGAGCATTTGATAATAATACGATATATAGGCTAGGTTCATCTCATAACTACTGATTGCTTTCTTCTTCAAAACCCCGTTTCCTTCTGGAGAGGCAAACAGTGGGTTCCTTGGATAAGTCATCTTCCCAATCCACAAAAAGAGTGTTTTCATTGCCAATTTTTGACGGGGGGAGCAGTTGTGGTGATCGATTAGCAAGAGGAATGACCTCTCTTCAATTGACCCTACATATAGGAGCAAATGGTTGTTAAAAATATATCAAGTCATTACGAACATAAATTCCATTTTCTAAATTGGTATGGAGAAATGATGGAGTTGTATTTGTAAACTAACCTCATTAGTTTCATAACTTCTCCAAGTACCTGGTGTAAACATAGATATCCAATTATTCATCAGTGAAGAGTCAAAGGGTCTTAAAAATATCAAAATACAACTTCATTAAATTTATATTAAGCTTAGTGTAACGTATTGAAAATGGCAGGCAACTAAGGCTTCCAATTTTCGAAATTCATCGATTCCTAACTCTGATGAACATAGATCAATCCAAAATGAATCGACGAAACACCAGGTAATAAACGAAGCGGATATAGCAACAAATAAAAAACCTACTGTATTGAGCACACACTCCTAATTGATCACTAAATTAGGCTAATTGATCACTAAATTAGGCTTGGAGAAGAAATCTGTGTTCGGAGGCAAACTATCGACTCAAAGGGATTTAGAATATCAAAATAGAACTTTAAAATAACAAAATAATCTTTGTTTGGTTGATACATAAGAAATAATCATCTTCCCATATGCCTTACACAATGTATTTGGAATACGTAAATCTTCTTTTGTAATGTGAAATGAATTTTTTAGGAAACAAAAAAGTACATAGATATCTGCATTGGAGGGTTTTAAGTGAACGATAATCCGGTTGTGACTCAAGAAAGTTGTTCCTGCAAGTTTGGTTGGCAGTAGAAGAAATGTTTCAAGAATTGCAAATGAGTAAATAAAGAATCACCCACGTTAAAATGGCTAAAAGAAAAACAAAGCAAATGAACAGTAAGAACTAAGCTTGCAAATGGGAGATTATAATCAAAGTAAATGAGACTAAACACAAAATTAATGTTATAAGAACATGAAAACGCCCAAGGAAAAACTTGATGCCTGCAGCCCTGTATGGGAAGATGAGAGATTGGCAGATTGCAAACATCAATCAAAGCCAAAGCATATAATACATATAATGGAACCCAATGATTGATATATCTCTCTAGAGATGCAATGTTATGGTTAAATGCACGAATGGTGCAAGAACAAATCAGGTATACAAAATTCATTGTAAGCAGATGCACCACATCGCGGGAAAAAAAATAGCAAGAATTATCAAACAAACCAAGAAAATCCATAAATAGATAGATGCATTCTAATTGTGTTTTGCGCAAAAGACAATGCAAAGATTTGGGCCTCACCTGGACCAATTTCATGTTATTTCTTCCCAGCCAAATCAGTTGGCTTCATATCATTAAACCCCAATGATAAAAGTAATCCTCAGAATAAGCATATTAGAAAAACTCGGTCTATTGGCCCAAAGCAGAGTATCTACGTAGATGCGGCGGGAGTTGGTTGCTTGGAAAAGTTCTACATTATCTATTCAGAAATCTACATCTAAATAGTATCCACCAGTTTTCAATTACACATGAGCTTTCAGAGTTATTCATTGATCTCATGAAAAGATATGTCTTTGAAGCAGCACTGCAGCTCAGGGGTGGGGAACAAAGTTTTAGATAAAAATTTTATGTAAGACAACGAAAAGGCTTCAGCAAGTGTGTAATATCAATGCATAATGCTTTGCTGGTGCGATGATAGAGCTTTCAGTTATTATAGGTTCTGCCCAGTTCATATGAAGCTAATCAAAGACGAAATAATACCTCATAGATGCAATAGTTTAGGCAATGGGAGTCTGCTTCCGGCTAAGAGACGGCTCTCTTCGTTCCTGACGTTTCATCTTCCCTAACAGGAAGACCCTTCTTCTAGCAAAGAGAAGGGTAAATCAATTCCTACCTTCCCCGCGTTTCATCTTTCCTCACACGCAGACTCTTCCTTCCAACTCGAAGGAGGCGAAGAGAAGTGGAAATTGAAGGCTTCCATCAATTGTTGACTGTCGTCGTCGTCTCCCTTCCCTCAGTTGTTGTCCACCGCCCTGCCGGCTCGCGGGTTCAGAGGAGGGGTAAAGGAGGGGAAATCGAAACCCTCAAAGGTGCCATTGATTGATTCCATAAAAAGATTTCTGCTAATCTCTTGATTAAGAAGAGGAGAAGTGGAGGGATTTGTGCTTCTTCAATTGGAATGGAGGAGAGAGGACTGTTGTGGGGGAGTTGATGACCAGTAAGGAGGTACTGCTGCGATGGACCGCTTTAGCGTCAAACTGCTGTGATATTTTGTTTGTGGGCTGCGGCCCGTTCAATAGTCAGGGTCCAGGGTCCGATATACCCTTGCGTAGACAGACAGACCAGACAGAGAAATAATCTTTTTTCCAAATATACCCCTCTGAAAAACGCTTTGGAAGCAAAAATTTTGAAATGGGGATTCAGTTTCCCCCTTCAGCATATTATAAATAGAGTAGATCAGCTGTAACCAACTCGACGGTCGGCGCCTAAAACCAAGTAAAAAAGCCGGTATAGATGGGTGTATGTATTAATTAATTAAAAACTCAAAAGGAGAGTCAGAGAGAGGAGAAACCTTGCTAACCGGATTCCAACATTTCGGCCAACTTGGAAAAGAAATTTAAAGGGAAAACTCCATAATTTGCATGTTTCTTATTTTCAATATTTTGTGTTTATGACTATATACGTGTCAGCGCAATAAGTAAACTACCGTGGGCCCCGACCAGTTGGCCGGAGAAAGGTGAGGTATGAAATTTGATAATATAATGGGGTGTATAGCTTATTGTTGTATAGTTTTTTTTGGGAAACTCGTGATAAAAATAGTGAATTTTAGTAGGAAAGAGACATGAATGATGTAAAGAATCAAAAATCGGCCTTATGAACCAAAATCAAGTACATGTTACCTTGTGAAACAATATTGTTTCTGGTAATATGATGAGGTTGGGTAAGTTATATAGAAATCGAATTCCAGAAAATCGAATAAAAAATCGCCTATCCCGTCGATTTTTGGGAAATGGGCATCTCACAATCGTTGCTAGCTTTTACTCGGCCCGTTGGTTGATTAATTTGCTTTATAAAACTTTCATCTTGTCGTCATTATGCTTTCTAATTTTTGTTAGGCCATGATAAAATCTAAGGAAATCAAGAACGAACAACACGATTTGGGATAGGAACCGCTGATGCTCTAAAACACAACACCTAACAATGGCCAAGTGTAACCAATGAAAGGGACTGCAGTATAGTGGCACAAGTAATAAATATCGAATCCACGGGTCTCTAGAGTTACTATTACTCAGCTTCAGTTCATTATCTAGCAAACTAGATTAAGGATTGATTAACTAAACTACTCTACTAACTAAACTAAGTAAAACTACTAATTACAGTTTGGGAACTCACTTAGGTATGATTCCCCCTAGCTCCTCAATTAGGTCCAAGTTGTAATTCATTTTGGTTGATTTACTGTTGATTAAACTGCGGAAGATCCGACAGTAGCTTGGAATCTCTTAAGCTGACCAAGCCCTCTCAGTCTAACTATCCGGCAGACGACTAGTCTTCACCGGGATAGAAAGCTGAAGCAATAAGCACAGAACTCCACTACTGGAATTGGATTCCAGTACAAAGCAGTAAACTGGCTAACTCTCGTATAGCCAATCTCCTACTACCGAATGATGAGACTCTAGCAACCTAATCAGATTCTATCTATCTCAGATTGCAGCAGGAATCAGGAAAAGTTGATCAGACTTCAATTGACTCAATAAACATACATCATTCGATTATAATCAAACAATATAGCATCCAAAACTTCATACAAGAAAGATCCTAACTCATGGAACTAAGGTTCCTCAAAACCTAAGTGAAGGGAAGTTACTCCATAGAGAAGAGAGAGACTGCAGAAATCTGATCTAGATCTTCAATCTCCATCTCCAAGCTTGATTCCCGTGCTCCAATGGCGAAGAAATCCTCCAAAATAGCTCCAAGAATGTTCCCAAGTCGCTCTCTCTCTCTAGGGTTCGTCCCTTGGGTGTTTGGGATCCAAAACCCAGCTCTCCCTCTCCTTTGGCTCGAATTTGGGTTAAAAACAGCCATTCCCGACTCGCACGGCCAGGGTGCACGGCCGTGCACATCACCATTCTGGCCGTGCACCTCAAAACGCGGCGTATCAATTAGTTGAACCTCAGCCAACTCGCACGGCCAGAATTATATGTTGCACGGCCGTGCGGATTTCACTTGTGCCCGTGCGTGCCCACGCACAATCCCGCACGGCCAAACTGGTCACTTGCACGGCCGTGCGTGGCCACGCACAATCCCGTGCGTGCCCACGCACGATCCCGCACGGCCGTGCGGGTTGTGGGTGTGCCCGTGCGACTTCCTCAGAACCTCGCCATGCGTCCGATCCTCGTCCAATCGACCCCGGACTCGCTCCTAAGCCTTCATTCACGTCCTAGGACCTGAAATATCACAAACAAGCACAACCTACCGTGAAATCGGCCTAAAACACGAGAATCAACACCTCAAACGGTGTAAGAATGGGGGTAAAAACATGTGTAAATGACGGTCTATCAAACTCCCCCACACTTAACCGTTTGCTTGTCCCCAAGCAAACCTAACTCAAACCAATGCAACTCTCCAGACCTCTATAGCAACAAACACCCCAGATCGTAGGTAGAGGACTTCCTAGATCATTTAGCAACTTACGAGGTCAACCGAAACACAAGTCATCTCATAGCTTCTTCGGCGAGAGCACTAGTATCGAGTCGGCATCATGGCAAATAGTGAACAGAGGACAAATGAATTGTGGATGAAGAGATTCTCAAAAACAAAAGATCATGGAGTCACATTTTTCAAGGTGCTCTATTTTCTTCTTGAAGATGGCTGGAACACCTTTTCTTTTCTGTTTTGCATGTTTTCTGTTTTTTTTTTTATTTTTTTTTTCAAGGGTCCCAACCTGCTCTTACCGGCCATGCCAGGAGCGGATGTCTCGAGCCTCGTGCGGGGGAAAGACATGTAAGGGGGCTGGAGGTAGTAGGTGGAAATTGGGAACGAATTCCCGTCTCCCCTTACACACTTTCGCCCTATTCGCACGGGAGACGTTATTTTGAAGCACATTTTCGAGCACCTGTTAAACTCAAAACATGATACAAGAGTCCATGACAGGTAGAGAATCCACAACACCACACAATTCAAGGGTCCTAAGATCACTAATTCACTCAATCAACCAACACAATATGTTGAAGCAATGAGACTTCTTAAATGCATCAACATCCTCCATAGTGCTACACTACCTCCCTAGGTTGCATATTACTATAAAGACTGTCAATTCAAAGCATACTGAGCAGGCAATTGCAAGGAACACGTACTTGGAGCCCTCAAATTTCAAAATTTGGACAGTGGACTAGGCTCCAAGCACACAAACAACCAAACATTCACCCGCATAAATAATCGAACACCCCCCCACACTTAAGCACGACATTGTCCTCAATGGAGGAAAGATAAGGAGGGTAGAACGAAGTTACCAGATCAAGGGTGAATGATGATGAACGGGTCAGGCGGTGCATCCCAGAAAGAGAGAGTAATCAGAACACAAACACCACACAAAATCTCACAAAGGTTGAGTTATTGACTCTAAAATCAAATAACAAAACTGACTCAACCGAGGATAAATAGAGAAAGAAATGCAAACCGACTGGTTGGGTTGCCTCCCAACAAGCGCTTCTTTCACGTCGTGAGCCGGACGATGGCTCCTAAGTTTCGGTCCATGCTAGAACCTCCTTGAAGTTGAGGTTCTCGTCGATGAGGTGGAGTCTCAAGTCACGAGCATGTGGTGTGGCAGGTGAGGAAGGCTCATGCACTTGATGCAGATGAAGTCTCCACCCTAGAGACCTCTTCTCTCGTCTCATTGCCCCAAACCAGATATGACAGCATCGATTGGCCACCATCGCGTCCACCAAGAGGGACCGATGTCGATGTGGCCTTGGTCTGGCAAAGAGACACTGCAAATGGGTCCTTGCCAAGCAGCTCCTCGAAGTTTGGTGGAGATATCACATGTAACTCATGGCCGGTGCAGGCCTCTTCCACCTTAACTCCGTCCTCAGCCTGGACGCCAATTGCTTCTTCAACCTCCCTTTCTTCTTCATGTGGTATCACCCCTGGGAAAAGATCAAGAACTCCTCCTGCTTCACTTTCTTCATCCTCCACAACTTCTTTCTGCACCCTTTCTCGCTCTTGTTCTTCTAGCACGGATTGGAGAGCAAGTTGCCAAGCAATTTCTTTCATGAGATTTTCTTGCATCTCCTCACTCATGCCCGCCTCTTCAAAGCTCAGTTTGGGATGTGGGAAGGTGTGGTCGGCTACGGCAGGAAATTCCTGATCATGATCATCACGAGAGCTTTTCGTGAAAACTTCTGTCTGCTCCACAATATCCTTGTAGCCTTCGTCTTCCTCCTCCTCTTCTAGTATGATAGCAGAAGGGTGATCTTGAGCAGGTTGTGCATAAGCTTTCTCAAGATCCTCGAGGCTCTTCTTTATGCTCAGGAGGGTCTCCTCTGTTTCACGGTAGGAGAACTCAGTTTGGGCATTGTCTGGGATATCCATCTTTGGAAAGGATGTCTCAGGTACTCGAGCAATCTGGTCCACGAGAAGCCTCAAGTGATAGTTTGGATCTGGCTGATGGAGGAATTCTTCTTGATAAGGAGATTGTTCTTGAAATACCCAGGGGTCTGATTGTTCTTCGTAGGATGGGGGTTGGTACTGAAACCCGAATCCATAGTCTTCTCCTCCTTGATTGCTCCAGGGGGTCTCGGGGTAATACCACTCGGATGGTGGTGGATACCCCCAATGGTTGGAGAAGCCATGAGGATCCATGATTCAGATCTGCACCAACAAAAACAAAAAACACCCAAGTGAAAAGAAAGGGTGGAAAAGCAAAGAAAAAAAACTAAAGTAACAAACTTCTGCCTTTCCTAATAATCTAGAAAGTCCCCGGCAACGGCGCCAAAAACTTGATGCTCTAAAACACAACACCTAACAAATGGCCAAGTGTAACCAATGAAAGGGACTGCAGTATAGTGGCACAAGTAATAAATATCGAATCCACGGGTCTCTAGAGTTACTATTACTCAGCTTCAGTTCATTATCTAGCAAACTAGATTAAGGATTGATTAACTAAACTACTCTACTAACTAAACTAAGTAAAACTACTAATTACAGTTTGGGAACTCACTTAGGTATGATTCCCCCTAGCTCCTCAATTAGGTCCAAGTTGTAATTCATTTTGGTTGATTTACTGTTGATTAAACTGCGGAAGATCCGACAGTAGCTTGGAATCTCTTAAGCTGACCAAGCCTCTCAGTCTAACTATCCGGCAGACGACTAGTCTTCACCGGGATAGAAAGCTGAAGCAATAAGCACAGAACTCCACTACTGGAATTGGATTCCAGTACAAAGCAGTAAACTGGCTAACTCTCGTATAGCCAATCTCCTACTACCGAATAATGAGACTCTAGCAACCTAATCAGATTCTATCTATCTCATATTGCAGCAGGAATCAGGAAAAGTTGATCAGACTTCAATTGACTCAATAAACATGCATCATTCGATTATAATCAAACAATATAGCATCCAAAACTTCATACAAGAAAGATCCTAACTCATGGAACTAAGGTTCCTCAAAACCTAAGTGAAGGGAAGTTACTCCATAGAGAAGAGAGAGACTGCAGAAATCTGATCTAGATCTTCAATCTCCATCTCCAAGCTTGATTCCCGAGCTCCAATGGCGAAGAAATCCTCCAAAATAGCTCCAAGAATGTTCCCAAGTCGCTCTCTCTCTCTAGGGTTCGTCCCTTGGGTGTTTGGGATCCAAAACCCAGCTCTCCCTCTCCTTTGGCTCGAATTTGGGTTAAAAACAGCCATTCCCGACTCGCACGGCCAGGGTGCACGGCCGTGCACATCACCATTCTGGCCGTGCACCTCAAAACGCGGCGTATCAATTAGTTGAACCTCAGCCAACTCGCACGGCCAGAATTGTATGTTGCACGGCCGTGCGGATTTCACTTGTGCCCGTGCGTGCCCACGCACAATCCCGCACGGCCAAACTGGTCACTTGCACGGCCGTGCGTGGCCACGCACAATCCCGTGCGTGCCCACGCACAATCCCGTGCGTGCCCACGCACGATCCCGCACGGCCAAACTGGTCACTTGCACGGCCGTGCGGGTTGTGGGTGTGCCCGTGCGACTTCCTCAGAACCTCGCCATGCGTCCGATCCTCGTCCAATCGACCCCAGACTCGCTCCTAAGCCTTCATTCACGTCCTAGGACCTGAAATATCACAAACAAGCACAACCTACCGTGAAATCGGCCTAAAACACAAGAATCAACACCTCAAACGGTGTAAGAATGGGGGTAAAAACATGTGTAAATGACGGTCTATCAACCGCCGTTGTCGTATTCCTAGAAAATGGTCCTACACAGACTCACCTGCCAAACTGGTTTGGATTGAGATTTTTATCGGGTATCAGAGAACCATGTGATTATAAATTAGACTTGATTAAAACGGGCCAAAACTTGAAATTCAGCATGTTTGACCGACCCATGCCAAATTCTAATTATTCTTTACTTTTAAACTTTCTATTTGAAAATAAAAAATAGTGAAAGAAAAGAGATGACTGCAACTCGCCATTTGCACATCACTTATTCGGGAATAAAACTATAGAAATTCAAAAGGAACTGAAAATGTTTAGGATCATTTTAATGTTTAAAATAACCAAAAAGATCTTTCTGTTTAGTTTTTTACTAACAAATACCAAACGATTCCCTATAAAATACACTATCATTTGATCATTATGGTATCAAATAATTATATAATATATATTTGAAATTATAAAAATTGGACTAATTGGGTTGGTCGATGTTAAACCATTGAATAACTTTAAAATACATTATATTTTAGCCACTAAGATTTAAAATAATAGAATAATATATATTATGCCAGAGAAAATAGCTTGTTTTAGAATGGCAAACCAATGATGTTCATTTGTTTTACTTGATGGCCAAATCCCGTGTAGGTCAGGCCCATTCAACTCTTTTATTTTATGGTTAGCGGTTAGCCTCGTAGTGGATCGTTGGCTCCACCTGTTATCTCCTTCTACGACATGTTGTTGTCGTCGCCATATTCAATATGTCACTTAGTCATCTCTGCCTTGCTGCATTAGACACCATGCATTAGCTTATTGTAAAATCTTTTATTTTTAGCAATAAAAAGGAGTATTGTTTTTGCCTTTTCATATATTTTATCACCATGGAGAAATACAAGGGCTTAAAGAAAAAAATCGACACTCCTGGACCCGTTTAAATCCGCATGTGTATGGTAAGTTGGCTCGTTCCACAGAGGAAAGAGAAAAAAAATTGACACTCCCTATTCTACCCTTCCTACAAACGCTGCTGGAGCAGGGAATTTGAAATGGGGGAAGGTTTTTTCCTCACTGCTATTATATGTTTTTAATTTAAAAAGATACAACAAATGTACTTAGTGTTATTGATTATGATCTTTGCTTTTCTTTAAAATGGTTATGATTTGAATCCGAGTACGTGTCTTTTTAATGAATAAAAAAAAGTAATTGTGAAAACCAAAATGTCCTTCATACTTTCAGGGAGTGGTTACGGTGATTACTACAAAAGCAGTAATCACCGTGGTTACTAAGGGTAAATTGGGTATGGAAAAATAAATTATATTAATTAATTTTTTAATAAATTACATTTTAAGTAGTTATAAAAATCTATTAATTTCAATTCTCTCTCTTTCTCTCACTTCTGTAATCTCCAGCCAGATTCCTTTTCATATTTTTCTCAATCTTTTTGCAAAAAAAAAAAAAAAAAAAAACACGAAATCACTACCAATCCATTAGACAACCACTACCACTTTGAAAAACATCAATACCATTGCAGAAATAAATCTATAACATTACACGAAACTACCAATATAAATAATCTATACCATTGCATATATGAAGAGAATTATGAACATTGAGGTTTGAACCAATATCATTAGACTTTGAAGAACTACTAGACTAGTATTGCTAATACTAATACATGTGTAATGAACCAATACCAATCTAAAGTGTCACTACTAAACGAAGATGAATGAATATCATGCTGTTATATAACCAATACCACTACACATCGAATCAATACCATTGCAGGACTACCATTACACAAAGGATAAAACAATTCCAAATAGTACTGCACTACCAAAAGAAAAGGGATTTTCCTTAACGAATGTCATTACCGATACCATTGCTTAGTAACACAATACCATTATGCAAATAAAAAAATTGCAGCCAGTGGAGGAATACGATTACAATTTACAAACCAATAACAAATACTAATTAAAAATCCCATTCGTATAATAGTACCATTACAAATACTACTGCACATTGAGTCCAACTACTACTCCAGCGTCGCCGCCGTGATTATCATCTCAGGGAACTCATTTAAACTGCGGCCATAGCGTCCGTTGTAAATGCTGAAGACTAGAACAGCCATAAATAGAATAAGAGGAAGCGGAAGTCGCTGGGGAAAAGGTTGAGAAAGAAGAGAATAAGCAGAAGTCCGGCCATCGACATCATCTGTACTCATATCTTATTGGGGGGCGGTGACGCAGAGGGGAGGGTGAGGTAGGAAGATGGGTGGGAAAGGAGGAGGCGGCAGCGGCAGAGTCGGAGTAGGGCACAACAACAGCGGCGGAAGTCGTTGTCGCTTGCACGGAGTCATCGTTGTCGGGGCTGGTGTAGGCGGCCGACGAGATTAGTCATTAATGCGACGGGAGTGGTGGAGGTGGCTGCGGCGGGTTTGGTTGAAGGGAGGATAGAACTGGGGTTTGGGTAGATTATATGAAATAATCGGGTGTGATCACTTTTTTATTTCCAAAATTAGCCTCAAATAATCTTGACCGTAAGATTAAAAAAGAAGGGAAAATAGAAAATCAAATGGTATATAAAGAGGTTGCCACCGTGATTACTAAAAAGCAAGTAACCACCCTAACCTATTCCCTACTTTCACTCTCGTTGCAGGAAATTTGAAATAGGGCTCCCTTTTTTCCTTCGCCATATTATATTATGTGTAGATATAATTTCTTTTCTTTTTTTAGCAATCAATAAGCGGTCTAGCTAGTTAACATAAGACAAAAGACAATCATGAATGCTTGCTTATACTATAATTACTAGATAACTTTGAGTTGTTGGAAAAAGTTTAATGATTGATTATAAATAATTTATTAACACATTCTCTCTAATAAATGTCACAATTTGTGGGTTTGAAGTTATTTAGATATCATGTGTTTGACAGAATATACGGGACAATTGGGATTTGAATAGAATATCTTTTGGTCACGAAAAAGTCTAATACTGTGTCAAGATTAATTCATCTCAATAACTCAAATTTATATTATATACCACTTACTAAGAGTAGGTAGGAGACTGGCAAGCAAACACAAGGCTGAGAATTAAGCTGAAGGCCATTCTATTGAATTTACTTCCATTTCTAAGGAGTGAAAATTGCGGGAGGGGGGGGGGGGGGGGGGGGGGGGGGGGGGAACGATAAATAAATAGGTGAGTGTTAGAAATTGGGTTAACGATAAACGATCCTTTTCGTGTATCTAATTAAGCCCCAAGCAAAGCACTCGATGGAATATGACTTCACTCGTCGATCGAGTTTGTACTTTGTAGCAATTCATTATTCCCGGGAACGAACTTCCTTCCTTCCGACTGATTAATAATAGTTGCAGAGGCTAGGTATATAGTAGGTAGCGATAACGCCGAGATGGGCAGTCAGTCTCGGCCGGCCCGGTCGATGGCTCTCTCTCATTCATATTTGCTTCCATTTTAGCCTTTCATAATTGTTATATGCCCCCACCCCCACCTCACCCCGCTGCCGCTACCCTTATAATTGTTCCTCTCTCTCTCTCTCTCTCTCTCTCTGCTAGATTTGAGACTTCTGGAGGTCGGAACTCGGAAGTAACACGTGATTGGTGTCTTGTTGCATTGTTAATTAATTAAGACGTTCTTTATTGACTCGTTTTATTTAAGACTCTTTTAAACCACAAACAATAGAACTCATTTTCCGTCAAATTTAAGCCTCCGTCGTAAAATTGGTAGTGAGAATATTATTATTATTATTATTATTATTATTATTATTATTATATAAAGCTCAAACATGTTTACTGTTGCTTAATACTTCCATGTGATTGGACCATCCGTTCTTTAATAAATCCATTAGATTGACCGAGCTTTTATCATCTATTGATCCGCTCCATTTTATGTTTGCGACCAATTAATTGGCAAAATTAAAAGTAAAGACAGTTTTGAGTATTGTGGGAGAAGAGAAGACTTTGGGAAAGAGAAAGTTAATGGGTGAAGCAAGATTATCAAGTCGGTTAGCAAATGGTATGGTTTGAGTGGGATACAACTGGTTTATATCAGTTTAGCATAATATATAAAAATGTGAAAAATCATTAACATTAAGAGAATTTAATAATCATATATAATAACATACGTGAATACAATCTACATTCATATATGGGTTTCACAAAATATATTGAAATATGACAAGTCAATAACATTAACTGAATTTAATAATCATATATAAAAACATAACTGAATACAATCTACATTCGTATATAAATAAAATACACTATTCTAAATAAAATAACAAATACTCATATTTAAATACAAAATGTAACGTGAACATCCTTGTGTTTTTACTAGAACCCAACAAATAGCATCAACATTTAATTTTCAAATTCATGAAATAAATAAAAAATTCATTTTTATATAATTAAATGTTCGAAAAGGACAATATTTTGTTTAGAGGTCGGAAATCGATTATACTAATAATATTCCAACCATTTGCCTAACCAGTACCAATTATATTCAATCTTACCGTCTTACATTCAATCTACATGGCAACCATGGGTAGAGGCGAGTAAGTCATCATCCGCAACATACTCAAGGGAAAATTTGACATCGATGATATAAATTAAAAATGGAACAACTAATATCAATACAAGTATGCCATCATCCGTGGCATAGCGCGGGATTTTTTTCTAGTATATTTATTTATTTTTATTTATTTTTTTATATAATAGCACAAGTAACCAAGATTTACGGGTTACTGTTTCATACGAAAAAATAGATGCATGGTTATTGTTCCCTTATTTACATAAGGAAGGGGTATATCTCATGTACTCAGGTCCATTATAATTTCTTGAAAAATCAATTCCACTTTCAAAACAAACCGTGCAAAACCATACGGATGGAAACGTATTCCATGGATCACGAAAACATTTCGTATAAAAAATATATTATATAAAGATTGTTATTAAATACAATGTTCACCATCTCATCAATTTGCATGACTCAAAAGTCATATAAGGTAAGTTAATGTTTTTTATTGTAGTTTAATAAATGTGATATTTTTCATAATTTGATTTTATTAACAGATCACACACTATGGAAGATTTGCATAACACCATTATATAACAATTACATAAAGAATTTGTAAGGTGAGTTATTTTTTACATAACAACTAAATCAAATGTAATACTTTTTATAACTTAATTCACTTATTATTAGCACAAACTTATTTTTCAATACCATCTATATTGAACATCTCATCATTTGCATCACAAAAATTAAAGCTTCTACAAAATAATTTAATCTTGCAAAATAGTTAAATCAAATATGAGAATAAAAAGTAATTTGAATTTATTATGAGACCATGAGACCACATGTGACGGAAGATTACGTAACATCATTATATAACCGTTATTAAAATAGATTGTGTAAACTTATGAAGGTTGAACAGATAATTATTTCTTATAGATTAATCAAACAAACGTGTTATGTAAGCCTTCCGTGACAATTAAAAACACCATGTAAAACTTATGAAAGTGTTTTACTCTAACTTTTTTGTGAATAATGTTAATTCAATTAAATCATTAAATGAATTGATGAAATTTTATTATCGAAAAATAAATTAATTTATTACCATCACGAAGTGCGGGTAAAAAATAGTGATAATTTACGTGACAAACTCTACCGTTAGAAACAAAAAAGATAACGGTGGCTAGAGAGGCCAAGTGTTCGATTGGTCTAGTTGATTCGCTGGTGGGTACACTCACTTTCTAGAAAGTATGGAAGGGAAAAGCTTTACGGGAACCACAAATTGCTTGCTCACACGAAGATGACAGGAATACAATCTATTTTAGTTTCATTTGGTTACTTCGAGAAAATGCCAAGCCCACTTCATATGAGGATTGGAGGATCAGGGGTGAATACAAGATAAACCGTAATATGTAGTGGGATGGGATATTCCAAGGACCTACTATGGTCACGATATTTATTTTTGGCAATTTCGCAATGGTGAAAATGTGTTTTTTTTGCACCATCTCACAGCACTTTTATTGGACCACGTCATCCAAGTCGCAAATGATTGGCCAAGAATAATTTGAGCCGTGCGTAGGAGAGAAAATGGGGAAATGGTAAGCCGACTGAGCTGAGCTGAGAGAGATGGGTGGAGTCGCCAAGTTAGAGGAATTTGAAATAAATAAATAAATAACTAAAACGAAAACTATCCACTTCAACCGTCCTCCATTATGCTTCTTCTTTCTCCCTTCTTCTTCCTCTCTCTCCCCGACCTAGAAACCAACACCCAGAAACAAAGATATCTTGACTCGACGAGAAAGAAGGAGGAAGTTGAGCACGCGTCGGAACATGGAAGGGGAGGATGAGGAATGAGTTAGGCGACGAGCAGGCTAGTCGTAAACCAGGACATATTCGATGAGGAGGAATCGTCCTTGTTCGTGGTCTTCGTAGTTCGGTCGACCTTTCTCACGTTTGAAAAACCGCCGAGGACGATTCTCCCTTTGTCTCTCGCTTTCTAGGTATGGGTTTTCCTAGGGTTGGTAATCGGTCGGTATTGGTATAACCAGTTACCGACTTACCGGTTATCGGTATTACCGAAATGCCAAAATGGCTGCCGACAACCGGTACCGAGTAATTATCGGTTAACCGGCATACCGACTTCCCGGTAACGGTTATCTTTCCGGTTATCCGAACAACCGGGTGTATTCCCCAACTGACCACACTCTGCCGCAAACGACTCGGGCAACGTCCAAGCTAGAGCAGCAGATCTGGCATGCGGCTATGCGTCCGGCCGTCTGCGGAGGTGCTGCGGCAACAGTAAAATCTCCAGATCCGGGGTTGTCTTGTTCACCATCGAAGCCTCTGAAACTCCAGACCCAATTACGATGGCCAGATCTTTCGGTGAGGCTCAGCTGGGAGAAAGACTTCGGAGAAGGCGGGGGAATTGGACGGCTGTGACCGCGGCGAGCAGCACCGATTGAGGCGATTGCGGCGTGGGCCCTTCAACTACGGCGGGGCTTTGGGAATTATATGGAGAGAAGAGAAGGAAGGAAAAGAAAGGGATGGTCAGTTGGGATATTAGGGGAGAAGAGACAGGCGGATTTGTTGGGGGTCTTAGGAGGGGAGAAGAGAAGAAAGTTCGCGTGCAACAGTTGGGAAAGAGTGAGTGAGAGAGAGAAAGTGATCTGTTGAGTGTTGAGGAAGAAGAGAGGAAAGGAAAATGAAGCGTTGCAGGCGGCAGGGGTATATTTAAGGGTGTGGGTTTCGGTTACTCGGTATACCGGGTAACTGGCGGTTATTTATCGGGTAGAACTCGGTATACCGAGGATCCAAATTCTACCATCGCATACCGATACCGCCGGTTATCGGTTTGGTAACCGGTTATATCGATAACCGGCAAACCGAATACCACCCCTAGGTTTTCCCCTTGAATCCCCCTTTTTGCTTTCTCTTTGGGTGTTCAAGGTTACCTGAATACGAGTTTGGGTATTTATTGGTACACCTTCAAATCAACTCGATTTGAAGGGTCTTCTTCATAATGCGATTTGTGTGGGTGAGTTCGGGAAATCTTTTGTTAACTAAGATTGTGGGTTCTTGCTTAGAATCACTAAATGTGGTTGAATCCAAAAGTAGTTGTTACCTACATCCTCCATTGTAGTTGATTAATGTGTTCCTTGTTCCATTTTAATGTGTACCTATTGAATACTGGTTCTTTTAGTTCTGAATATTAGTTGTGTCTTCATCTTGTAGTGGTTGTCTGTAGTTTAACAATACTGGTTGTTTCTTTTCTGAATATTAGTTGTCTTAAATGAGTTGTGTTCATCTTTAATTTCTCAATATTAGTTTGTTCTTACTGGATTTGTACTTTTGTTGAATACTACTCTCTTCGTTGTTTAATGTTGATTGTGTAGTTGTAGAATACTAATTATTTTGGTTTTGAATATTAGGTGTGTATTCATTGTGGACTGGCTGTCTCCATCTAGATTAATACTGCATGTTTCAGTTATGAATATTACTTCTATTCATTGGCTAGGTTTGAATAATGGTGGGAATGAAGAAGCGTGTTCCGCAAAACATGAAACGACCCTTGGTGGATCCACCTACTTCTGAAGATGTTCCTATTTCACAAGATATTCATGTAGATCATGCTGCTGATGACGATCGGGAGCGTGCTGCAAAAAGGGTTAAGGGTGCCGCTGGGGTAGGTGTTGGGACATCTACTAGGAAGTTTGGTGAGACTTTTGCTGGGAATTCATGTGAGACTTTTGCTAGGAAGTCTGCTGGTACATTTGCCGCGACATCTGCTGAGAAAGGTGGGGGATAGGAGCTGAGAAGGGAAGAAACCACATGAAATGCAAAATCGGTGTCACACATCATCACTTTTGAGTGTTGCAGAATTCTAGAAGAAATATGAGGCCTACTATCAAGAATGCGAGAAGGTACTTAAGAAGGCGGAATTCGATGGATTGTTGGAGATACGATTGACCGTCATCAAAAAGTTTCTATTGTGGGCAATGGTACAACACTACGATCCTGCTTTGGGCATCTTCAATTTCGGAGTGGGAGAGAAGAAGAAGAAGAAGAAGAAGAAGAAGAAGAAGAAGAAGAAGAAGGTGTTGACCTTAGAGGAAGAGGCCTTTGCCATGCTTGATTGAGATCCAGTATTTGAAACTGCTGACTTCCAAGGGTGCAATTATGTGAATGAAGTATTAAATTAACATGAGTTAGGGTTGTCTGAATATTACTTGTTGTTTTCTGGCATATAACTTGGGGTTGAATTGAATATGACTTGTTGTTATGTTGATTATGAGTGGGGGTAGAATAGGAGTCTGCGTTCTTCTAATACTAGTATGGGTTGTATGAATATGACTTGTTGGTCTCTCGAATATGACTCGGTGTTGTATTCCCCTGTAACAAATTTTCTCTCCAGTTTTTGAGGAGGGCTACTACCTAGTTTTTGCTGCAGACTTCATAAATCGCCAAACATTCTTATTGGACAGCATAAAACCAAGAGAACAGTTTGCCAAGGTTGTGCGTGTCCAGAGGCGAGGAACTTTTTCAATCATGTGTCTACTTTGCTAGACATAAAGGGCATGTAGTTGGAGTCCAGCTTGACTGAATGGGTGTTCAGTGTTGCAGACGTACCTCAACAAATTGGTGGCGACGACTGAGGCGTATTCGCTTGCCAATTCATGGAACATTAGGAAGGCCACTAGGATGTTGCATACAAGAGCATTTGGTGAACCACGGAGCACATTAAGCTGCAGCGTGCAATGATTGCCGCGAGGCTGGTTTTGTGGGAGAAGAAGTTGAGGAGGGATGATATACTGACGTGGGTGGCACAATGGAAGAAAGAGCAAGATGGAATAGCTAAGAGGCAGAAGATCTGAGTAGTGTATTCTCTAAGTATTGCTAGCCTACTAACTAAGTACTATGAACAATTGGAGTTGCATGTAATGTACGTAGGTGTAAGTATTTTGGGTTTGGCCTCCCCTATTTAGTAGGACTTTTAATTAGGTGAGGGTGTAAGTATTTTGGGTTTGACCTCCCTAGTTAGGTCTTTTAATCAGGTGGGGGTGCAAGTACTTTGGGTTGAACCTCCCCTATTTAGTAGGTGATTTAATAATGATAGTTCGAAACATTTCTAATATGTCTTCACAATTAAATGAATACCAATACATAAAAGGTTTCTCGTTACTGCAATTTTAGTTATAAACACATCTAATATGCCTTCATAAGACCCTGAATAGTAATACATATTATCATTTCATGTTACCAAATGATTGTTGGCTACAAACAACAAATATGCCTTCAGCCCTGAATACTAGTACATCCTATCGTTTCATGTTGCCAAATGATAGTTCGCAACACATCTAATATGCTTTCATAAGGCCCTAAATACTAGTCGTACCAATTGCAGTATGATATGTTACCAAATAACAAATCATATCACAATTGTTTCCCCAAAAAGCTTCTATAAAGAAGACAAATTTAACCAACTACAAGAAAGTAGATCCATGAGGAACTTGTGACAGAATCTCCAAGTCCTTAAGTTGCTTGGCATACTAAATCTTCTTCTTACCCCGGGCTTTCTAATTCCTTGACATTTACCTTTCTCGACCATGACTTCGTGGAGCAACCGAGGACCATGGGTTATTACATGGCTCCAAGGCCGATGGATATTCAACCCGCCATTCAAAATCCACCCGTGGCCGCCAACAATTGGAGATCAAGCCTGCCCTTGTCACCATAATTCAAAACAATGCCCTATTTCATGGGCTTAGTTTCCAAGGGAGCATGTTTAGAAGTTCATTGAGCTTGCAGGGAGTTTGAAGATCAATTGTGTCCCCGAGGATGCTTTGAAGTTGAGGCTATTCCCCTACTATCTTGCGGGGAATGCATCTTGGTGGATGAACAATAGGTCGGCTCTCTCGATCACTTCGTGGGATGATATGCTCAACAAGTTTATGAATCGGTATTGCCCACCTTCAAAGACGGCGGAGTGGCGCAAGAAGATCACCTATTTCGAGCAAGAGGAAGATGAGACGTTGAGGGATGCTTGGGAAAGGTACTCCGATTACTTCCTACAATGACCACATCATGGATTCGAGGAGCAATTCCGGATTGAGACCTTCTATGGAGGTCTCCACCAAGATGACAAGATCCTCATTGACTCCTTATGTCAAGGGAAATTGATGAACATGACTTCAACCCAAGTGACCGAGTTGCTTGAAGACATGAAAAGTAAATGGTATGATTGGGGCTTGACAAGTAGTGGAAAGAGAAGTACCACAAGGGGATTGCAAAGTGTAGGAGTGTGTCCCTCGCTTGAAACCAAGATTGATCGTTTGATTGAGGCACTCATAGAGGACAAGAAGCATGGGAAGAGACCGATAATGGTGTGTGATTGGTGTTCAAGTACCAACAACGAGATTTTGGATGGTTAAATGATGAAGGAATCAAGCACCGCCGAGGAGCAAGTGATTTTCATTGCCAATGCTAGGGGAACAACCCCTATAGCAACACTTACAACCCGGGGTGGCGAAATCATCCGAATTGATCTTGGTCTTCTCCGGCCAATCCATAACCCCCCGTTTACCAAGGACCAACGAGTCATTATCAACCAAGGCCTACGTTCATTCAACAAAGGCCACAATTCCAAGGCTCTAACTTCCAACAACCGTTTTAAGCTCAAGGAGGTCAAGGGTTCCAACAACCCGATAAGTTTTCAAAAATTGAAGACCTTGTGACCACCTTTGTGAGCATGAGCACTCCAAATTTTGAGAAGATTGAGCAGTTTATGGATGTGGCAACAACAAAGTTTACCTCGGTTGAGGCAGGATTAAGGAGCCATCAAGCAAGCCTTCAAAACTTGGAGGTGCAAATTGGAAATCTTGCCAGGATCCTCGCCGAAAGACCAAAGAGAGCTCTACCCTCTCAAACCATTATTAACCCCAAAGATCAAAATGCCGGGTGCAATGCTATTCTTTTGAGGAGTGGGAAGGTAACCCCGGAGGTTGTTCCTAAGGAAGTGAATGAAGAAGAGAAGACCCTTCCATTGGCCAATGATCCCGAAGAATTGGGAGAAAAGGAAGAAGAGCCTAAGAAGGCATTGCCGACGCCACCACAAGTGGCTAAGTACAAGCCTCCTCTTCCTTTCCCTACAAGGAGGCACAAGGACCGATTAGAGGCCGAATGTGGAGGATTTATGGAGATGCTCCAGAAACTCCGAATCATCATTCCATTCTTGGAGGCCATGGTGCATATGGCGAGGTACGCCAAATATCTCAAGAGGCTTCTCGCCAAGAAGCCGAAATATGAAGAGCTCACCAATGTCACCTTGGGTGAGGAGTGCCTCTCAAGGCAAACCCCAATATCCCCCTTTGCATCGGACATCATCATATAGAAAACTTCTTGGCGGACTTAGGAGCAAGCATTAATGTGATGCCTCACAAGCTTTTTAAGAAGTTTCATTTGGGTGAATTGAAGCCCACTAGGCTTAGTGTCACTTTGGCCGATCGCTCTGTCATTAGTCCTACGGGTATTGTGGAGGACGTCCTAGTGAGAGTTGGCAATTTATTTTATCCAACAGATTTTGTTATCCACGATATTAGTGAAGATGCGGATATGGCACTCATACTAGGACGCCCCTTCCTTGCCACCGCCAAGGCCTTAATCGATGTTAGTGACGGAACTTTGGTGTTGAGAGATGGGAAAGAGCAACTTACTCTTTCAATTGATCCTAAGGTTAAGAATGATGTGGTGAAAGAATTGGATTCGAGTGGTATGAATGGAAGTGGAGGTGAGCCTCTCAAGGCGAACCCCACTGGTGTGTTTGTTCCATTTGATGACGAGGTGTAGGAAATCAAGGCGTGTGCTAAGCATGAAGGAAAGAAGAAGAGAGTGTGGAGGGATAGGCTTCATCAAGCCTCCTCCCAACCAAAAGATAAGGGTAAGGCAAAGATGCCGGACCAAGAGGGTCACCATAAGGAGCTAAAGGAAGGAGGTGTCAAACCTCACCCCGAGACCGTGGCGGATCCACTCTTGGTGGCTTTACGCACTAAAGCATGATAGATCCGCAACGTCGAGCTAGTGATGTTAAACTAGCACTTGTTGGGAGGCAACCCAACGACAATTTGTTTTCTTTTCCTTATTTTTCTCTTTTTGTGTGTGTGAAGAGTTCACGTGTTGAATTTGGGGTATCATCGTGCCAAGTCTCTGTATTTTGTGTTATGGGATGTGGTGTGATCGGATTAGGGGCACAGTTGAGTAGATTGAGTAAAAAATTGTTGGGAGTGCCTTGTTTTTCACTCAGTTCACGGTTTTGGCTTCCAGTTCACGGTCTTAATGACCATGAAGTGGTGCCTCTGTCCGTGAACTGAGGGTGCTCCCCCTATTCTTAAAACTCATCGGTTAACCCCAATTCACGGTCTTAGTGACCGTGAACTGACACCTCCATCTGTGAACTGAGGGTTCTGCCTATAAAAGGAGCTTTTTGGTGCCATGTAATAGCCCATGGTCCTTAGTTGCTCCTCTGCGGCCGCTCCTTGAGCTGGTTGATTAGACGCCATCTCGACTACACTTCCGTCCTCTTCGGAATCAACCCCTTCCTCAACTACAACTTCCACTTCTATCCTCATGTTGCCTCCGCTAGTTCCCTCTCCCGAGCCAAGTGTCGGAGAGTGCGGTTGAGATCCTGGTCTAGTGGCGCCAAAGGTGTTATATTACTCCGGGTCATACACCTCCATGCACACACTCAAAAGAACCACAACACTTCTAGGAAAAATAAGGTTTGCACACAAAATGAAAATTAAAAGCTAGATTAAAACCAAACAATCTTTTTAAAATAATGAACCG